CTCTCCACCCACCAAGAGCCAACCCCTGTTGTCTGATCCTGGTGTTTCCCAGCAGAGACACCCTAGTCACTGCAGACCCCAGCGCTTGCCCAGTGGTACTTCAGGCTCCAAGGCCTCTGCCACCTTGCCAATTGTGTCTTGACCCCAACCCCTCTCCCTCCTCCTCATTGTTTCCAGCCCCACCTACTCTCTCCAGGTCCCTCCAGAGCTCCCCTGCCCTCCACCTTCTACCTTGGGGCCTTGCCCTTGATGCACCCTCAAGTTGGAGGTCACTCCCCTCTTCCCTGCACCTCCTGGCATCTCAACCCTCCCTGCATGTAAGTTCAAGTCAGCTGCGATGGCTTAGGAAGTACTGCTGCAAATTGGGTCTCCGCCCCCAGCACCTAATTTAACTGTTGCCCAAGCCTCAGCGTTTTTTAAGCTCCCCAGGTGACTCTAATATGCAGCGAACCCTGCACGCCAGACTGTGTCCTCCTTCCCACCTTCTAACCCTGCTCACACCAGCCCCCCAGCAGGTCAGGTACTGTCCTGCATCACACCCATCTCAGTGATGACTTTGTATCCACTCGTGGGATCATACAACTGAACTGTGCATTCTGGGAGACCAATATTGTGCTCACCCATGTCCTCACCAGCCAACATAGACCTGGCATGTAGTAGGCCCTCAACAAAATGTTGTTGCATCAATTCGTGGGTGTATTTTCAGTTATCGAGGAAAGAGTATGTTTCAGGCCACTTAGTCCCTGGTCCATAATTTAGCAAATGAGAACGAGTGATGGAGCCAGAGATTGGCAAACCACAACCTCATGGACAAGACAGCCCAGTACCTGTTTCATACAGCCCCACAACAAGAAGGGACTTAACATCTTTAAATGGTTGACCAAAAAAAAAAAAAAAAAAATCAAAAGAAAAATAATATTTTGTAACCCATGAAAATTATGGAAAATTCAATATCAGGGTTTATAAATAAAGTTTTATTGGAACATGACCATGCCCACGCATTTATGATTGTCCGTGGCTGCTTCTGTCCTGCAACAACAGAGGAGAGTAGTGCCAGAATCTGTAGGGCCCTCAAAGCCTCAGGTACTTACTCTTTGCAGAAGAGGTGTGCCCACCCTGATATAAAGGAATTCTCTAAACCAGCTGCTGTATGATGTCACCATCAAGCACATGGAAGCCACAGAGCACCCTCCACAGCAGGACATGCATCACCCTGTAGGTCTGGCTGTGGCTGAACGTTTGTCTCTGGCCTCCCTTCACCAAACAAAGTCATCTTACAACACTTCGGAGTTGAAATAAGCCAGACTGGCTGGGCTCAGTGGCTCAGCCTGTAATCCCAGCACTTTGGGAGGCCAAGGCAAATGGATTGCCTGAGTCCACGGGTTTGAGACCAACCCGGCTAACTTGGCAAGACCTCGTCTCTATAATAAATCAAAAATTAGCCGGGCATGGTAGTGCACACCTGTAGTTCCAGATACTTGGAATGCTGAGGTGGAAGTTTCACTGGAGCCTATCAGGTTGACACTGGGGTGGCTGTGAGTGTGCCACTGCACTCCAGCCTGGGCAACAGAGTGAGACTCCAACTCAAAAGAAAGAAAGAAAAAAATCAGACTGCATTGCTCCAGAAGTTTTCCTCTTTAATTTTTCAAACGATAAGTTTATTTTTGACAGGAACCAAAGTACATCTCTACCTTCTCTTTATTCACCAAAAACTATTGTTTTTTTAGAATAGATGACAAACATCTTTTCCATCTCCTTCCCTAAGATCAAAGTAATGCCTATTTGCTGCATATTAAAAATACCAGAGTTTGGCACTTTTTTGGTCCCATCCAAATTAAAATGGTCCCAATTTCTACCTCAGCAATGACATTTCACCAAGTCTGAGAGCCAGAACGGAGCGTTGAACATCTGAATGCCACAGAGCCTGGTAGCAAGCTTTCCTTTTCCGTATAAGGTTTTATTGTTAGTAGTAAGCAATTTCCCATGTAGGTTTCCCCTGAAGATGGCGTCACCAAAATACCTCACTCTTTGACTCTAAAGAAAAGAACTGATGACAAAGACTTAGGCCCACAGCGGGGTTTGTGCGCTAGCAGGCCCAGCTGTGTAAAATCTGGATTCATTTACTTTGTGAACTTTCATCCTAATTCCTGATATTGGGCCAAATTACAAAGACACAAGTGATATTTTAAGGCTGAAAGGGGGAGGTAGGAATTCGATCTGTTCACACAGGCCTCAGGAAATTGACTCTGCATGACCGGATTCTTTAAATCAGGAGGCAAGGGCTAGGTCCAGCTCTATTGAGGCTTCCAAGCAGCAGTGGTTTTGAGACTGTGACTCTCCAAGAACTGGAAAGCACCAAGGATCAGTGTCAGCAACTGGGTCCTGCACTTGACATCCACAGGGACCCACCACAAATGAAAAGGTCCTGGGAACTAGAGAATTCTGCTCAGCTAACTCCATGAGTGAAAATAACCAGACTTTCTGAAAAGTGCACACAAAGATGGTTGTGTAGACACCACTGAGCTTAAGCTCTCTAGACCGGAGACCAGAATTTGTGTTGGGACTCCATATTCACACTACCAGAGCCTGCACAACCACAACTACCACATAGACCCTCATGCTCTTCATCTGCAACCTAGGGATGACCATTGTGCCTGGTCCACAAGGACACTACAAGACCAAAGAGACAGAGCAGGCAGAATGCACCACACAGCCCTGCATGCTGTGTGACTGCTGAACTCAGGGTGGTAGTGGGAAGAGGGGATGGCGGAAGTAAAAATAATATGTTCAGAATTTAAATGTGAATACGAAAAGACTAAGACTGCAAAAAACCAGAGACCATTGCCACCACTTCAGAGGAATCTGGACAAACCTCTAGCTCCACCCACATCGGCTCTGTCACACATTCTGGGAAGCAACCCATGGGGAGGAGTCCTGCAGCTCAGGGACAAATCCTCCCACATCCTGGGTGCTGAACCCATGGCTCCTGGCTCGGGGAACATCCTCTAACCCTGCAGACTCCATTCGGGTCCGGCCTTCACATCTGGACAGTCTCTGTGTATTCCATTCTGTGGCTTCCCCGGGCTGCTGGGAGCCACCCCATGGGGTTCCCATCCACACCCAGTTCCCATCCACACCCGGTTCCCCTCCACACCCGGGCGGGCCCCACTCACCCTGCTCCATCATCTCCAGCAGTCCCTTTTTGATGAGCTCCTCGCGACCCTGCCGGCTGGCCATCTTCTTCTCCAATGCTGCGTGACACACAAACAGCCAGGTGAGCCACAGGCATCACTGGGCCCTGTCCACACCACAGCGAGCACCAACGACCAACGTCAAGTTTACAGACCAAGGGCGGTGAGCCAGCACGTGCCTCGGGGCCAGTGACCTGCCAGGTGAGGTCCATTTGTTCAGCAATTTCACCTTTCTTCCTAAGCATCTGCCGAGCCATGTGCATAGGACGCAGCTGAGGGAAGCACGTGCAGTCAATTTTATAGCAATAACTTCTATGATTTGCTGGGAAAGCACTTCCACGAGGAACACCCTCTACACTGCTTCACTGGCTCTCCTGCCCCTCACCAGGTGCTCCTGAACTTACCTGCCAAGAAGCACGTCCTTTCTCTGCCCCGGAGGACTTTTATGTGGTCTTGTTAGCCTTAGCTGAATGAGTCCTGACTACCTGAACGTCTATGCACAGACCAGAGTCTTCACACAACCCTTCCACTAGAGGCTCTTCCAGAGAGCCCAGGTAACACTTTTGAAGACTCTCCCAGACAGGCAGGAAGGGAGGAGGCCAGCCCCCGCCCCAAACACCAACCCGTTTACCAAATCTTGCCAGTTCCTCCATCGGGATAACCCTTCCTGTTTCCCCATCCCAGAGTAAAACATCCCATGTTCTCCTGCTTCCCCTTCCCATCACTGGTGGGTCTTAATCCCCTTCTTTTCTCGAACTGTCCAGAAAATTCTTTGCCTACAAGTGAACCTCCATTTGTAAATACAAGACTACACAAACACTTGGGTTCTTTCTTTGAAAGATGCAGATAAAATTCCTGCTGCTGAGCCTGGGTTACGAAGGGCCCATGGGTTCTGTGAGTGCAGGAGTTCTGCCAGAGACCTGGACCATCAGAGCCGGCCCACAAGCCCAGCTATGCCTAGAACAGAGGAAGTAGACGATAGTGAAATCATTTAATTTATTCCAGAGCATTACTGAGCACCTGCTATGTTCCAAGTGCTGAACTAGGTGCCAGGGAGTCCCTGGGGACAAAACCAATCCAGGCCTCACCTTCTTGAGGTATGGGCTCCAGGGGGCAGCAGGCCATGGTATTCATTCAGTGGGTGGAAACCAGTTATATATTTATCGAGCATCTACTGTGTTCCAGGCACTGTGACAGGCTTGGGGGTACAGCCATGAGCAAGACAGGCACAGACTCTGCCCGAGGCCAGCATATGTGGGAGGACAGATGGCACCTGTCTACAAATGGGAGAGTGAGATAAGTCAGAGCCAGGGGGCTCTGAGATAAGGGTAGGGGCTCTGGGGGAGTTAGGAAGGGCTATTCTGATGGAGGAATTGACAAGAAATGCAGCACTGGGGTTGGTGGACAGGATGTGGGGGCTGGCCTCTTCCCTTCCTGTCCATTGGGTAGATTCTTCGAAAGCTGTTAGCCAGGGTTTATTGGAAGAGCCTCTGGTAGGAGAGTTGCACAAAGACTGTGGTCTGTGACTAGATGCCAGCCCCGATCAGGACACACTTAGCAAAGATGGCATGGCCTGGATAGCCCGATGGCTTGCCTGAGACTCGTTATCCCGGAGATAAAGGGTGATTAGGGGTTCCAGACACAGCAGGGAAATGACATTCTCAGGCAAAGGGAAAATAACTGCCTTTCTGGAGACCCAATTTCCAAGCCCATTTCCAGGAGCCAGAACTCTGGCTGACACTGACAGATGGCACCTTGACTTTGGGAGGAGTAACAGCTGCGGTCCCAAGGAGAAGGACCTGGTGAGGGTCCCGAGAGCGAAGCAGACCCACTGCCTGACACTCACGGGCAGTGGGCTGGGTGGCCCAAGAGGTCAGGGCTTCCTCTGCAGTGTGTCAGTGGCCAAGTACATCTGAGACCTCCCTGGGACAGGCACGAATGGTGTGGTCGATCCTTACCTGCCAGGCCACTGCCAGCTCTGTGTTTCCTTAAATTACCACTTCCTTCCCTCCCGCTAAGGATGCCTATGAGATCAGGAGTCTGACGAAACAATGACACTCACACTTAGAGGGGAAGAGGAGCCTGGGATATGTAAAAATGTAGGGCTGTTCCCCAAATTTCCAAAGGCCCAAGTAAGGGGCCCAAAGATATAGCCCCTGGAGATGTTAACCAGAGACCCCCCCCAACCCCCTTACAGGGCCCCAAGGCATCCTGATATGAACCTACACAGCACCGTGGGAACTGCAGGGCCCAGAGTCCTCAGAGGACAAAGCTCAGCCTTCCAATTCCACAGCTGGGGTGCAGGGCTTGCTGAGTGTTGGGGCCCTCGAGGTCACAGAGGTCACCCTGCTCCAGCCCCTTGGGCTTTTCTCTCCTGCACCTTCCCCAGGTAAGCACCTTTGCGAGGGCTGTTCCCACTGCTGTGATGCTTATCCCTGTCTTTCTTGAGGGCCCAATTACATCTCAGCTCAATGTGGCCTCCTCCCCTGGGTCTTCGCAGACCTCCGCAGACTCCTTCCTCCCCAGGGCCTGCTCAGCTTCTCTGCAGCCCCCACCGGAGTCTGTCACTGACTTGTGTGTGCTTACTTGGTTACTTGCTGCCGTTGTTACCCGACTGACTGCCCACCCTGAGGAAAGCCCTGGGTGGGCAGGGCCTGGGCACCTCCCTTTCCTTGATGCCCAGCACATAAGAGGTACTCAAGATTTGCTGAATAAGGATGCTTGTTCTGTTTGCATTTTGACGAGGAGAATTCACCAACCAACATCTTGGGTGGTTGAAAACCTAATTCTGTAAAGCATGCAAAATAGTGTGAGCAGAGGCTCTGCTGTTGGTATCAGCCCCCATCCCAGCCCCCTCCAGGCCCTTACCACCCCCACTGCAGGGCCTGGGCGCCATAAGCTCATTTGCTCTGTCTCTTCCAGCCTTAGTGCCCTGGAGTCTGCTCCTTCTCAGAGCTGGGAAGGAAGTGGGGACCCTGGGGACTGCCAGAGGCAACAGCCTGAGACAGGCACTTAGTGGGCAGTCTCCGAGGCCCAGGACTAATTCCAAAAGAGATACTCTCTCACTAATTGTTTTCAGCCACAGCTAATAGGCGTGTGGCTCAGAGGTGGAACCTGAGAGGTCAAGGGGACATTTCCTCTGGGGTTTGCTTCTCAGGACACTGCCATCCCCTCCGAGAGACCAGAGGATGCACCAGACCCTGCAGGCCAAAGTTCAGAACCCAGACCCGCAACTGCTGGCTATTGGACACCAGGTGAGTGACTTCCCCTCTCTGAGGCTGTGTGCCCATTCCTAAAACAGGATCACTTCTAACACCAGCCTAGTGGTGGCGCTGAGGGTTGGGTTGGCTCCTGGGTACCCAGTGCTGGCGGGATATGCTCTGCTGCTATGTCCTCTTAGGGCCACTGACTTTCTTGTCATCACTGCATGTGTCTACCCTTCTGTGATTCAGTCTCATGGCTGCAGTTTCCAGGTGGACTCTGAGGAGGCAGGGACCATGGGACAACCTGTCGCAACCCAGCTTCCCTCAGTGCTGAGACTGCAGGGTGTATGGATGCAACTAAGGGTGAATGGGGAGCCTTCTGGAAGCACTGGTGGGCAGGTATTGAGGTGGGTATACAAGATGGGCTTAGAAGCTGGTGGGCTGACTCTGTTCTCCAGTAGGTAGAGAGGCCTGAAGGTGTCAAGGGCGATCTGAGGGCCTCAACCCTCTGAGTCACCTGGGAGGTGCTTGGGAGTGGCGGGACTCTGGCCCCATCCTGGGCTAACAACTAACCCCAAATCTGTGGGCTGGGACCCAGACCCAGCATCTTCAAAGTGGGATTGCAGATGCAGGAGGGTGAGGCCAGGGTACATATGGGTGGGCACTTGTTCCTGAGTGAGGCTAGCATCTTGGCCTAGCCCTGCATGAATCAGTCTGTGTTTTGAACAAGGTCCCAGGTGACTCGTGGGCACCTTAGGGTGTAGGTAGAGCATCCCATGTGGGGGGCCCAGTGCTGACCCACCTCCAGGCCTCAGGATGGCCAAGTGGGACCTGGAGGGGCCAGTGGAGGCAGCTCTCGGTCATCAGAGGCCACATAGCACCGCCTGCCCCTCCTATGTGGGGGCAGGGAAAACACAGACAAGCAGAGGCAATAGCACCATGACAGTGACACCAGCCCCCGACCACAGCCTGCCCCAATACCAGGTGCTCACCAGACGTTGTCTGCTTCAGTTTTTCGTTTTTCTTTTTCCTCCATTTCCAGGGCTTGAAGATTCGGCCCAGGGTGGCCAGTTTGCTGTTCCTCCTCACAGGGGGAGTTCGAATCCCTGAGACCAGATACTCGGAGCGCACTGGGGGAGTTTGATCCATCTCATCTGGAAGACAGAAGCCAAGGAGGGACGCAAATGACCACCACACCAACACCATTCCCCAGGGCCAAGACGAGACCTCTCATCCCAGGGCTCACCAGTGATTTCCCAAAGCCTGGGGCCCAAGAGGGTTTTCGGAGCCAAGGGGACTTTCTGGGGCTCATACTGCCTGGAGTGAGCCCATGGGGCTGCACCAGCTCATGAGTATAGCTTCCCTTCTGGAAGACCCTCCCTCCTGTGACCCTCTTGAGGTCTGCTGGAAGAGCTCTGCCTCTGCCATGGCCATTTGGAGACTTCTCTAAGTCCAAGGTGAACCACTCCCTGCCTCAGGACCTTTGCTCATGCTGTGTCCTTCACACATGCCCTTTTTCCTCCAAGCTGCTGCTTTTAATCATAAACATCAGCTCTTCAGCTAAATATAATTTCCTCCAGGAGGTCTTGACATTCCTCCTAACCCAGATAGGGTTTGGCCCCTCATCTTATTTTCCAGAAGCTACTTACATAGGCACAAAGGAGCTATACCTTTTGGTGGGAAAAGAAGGTCACTAGAATTAAGAAAGGAGTGAGGTCACCAGTGTCCAAGTGACTGGAGGCTTGTGACTGGCGGGTCCTCTCAGGCCCAGTGAAGGGTGCCAAGCCCCTACCTTTCTACCTGAGGTATCCCTGGGCCACCTGCTGCCCTAAGCAGGCCCATTACGGCCTGTCCTGAAATCCGGGCTCTACAGAGCTCAGCCCAGAGAGAACCACATATTACAGCCCACAGTTCCAGGTGGCAATGACCTCTGCACCTCCAGGAACGGGCAGCCCTGGCCAGCAGCCTCCAGAGCTTCCCCATGGAGTCTGACTTCCAAAGGGTTGCACCTGTCCCCAGCCCGGGACCTGCACCCACCACGAGCCACTTAGCTCCTCTGAGGCCTCAGCTTCCACATCTGCAAAACAGAAATATTGTGTGATCACCCCTGACAGGCAGGGTTAAGAGAAAGCTTCAGGGTGGCCATCAATTCTGGAAATAGGAAAACATGCGATGTATGGTTTAGTGATAGTGTGTTATGAGCTATGTAAAGGAACAGTATCTATGTCTAGACTTTATGCACTTAATCAGCATACCATGCCACCATGGGCAACTCCTGGAAAAAATTCTCATTAGGATAACTTATATGGTATAAACAGTACAATAATGATTGTGAAGTGAAAGTCAGTTCCTGCTTAGGTGGGGCCAGGATTGTCCTAAGATATTCTCTTATTTTACCTTCATGATGCATCTATGAGCTACAGACCATGATTTCTTTAATCCATTTGGCAGATGAGCAGACTGAGGTTCAGAGCAGTGAGCCATTCTGTGGTCAGTCACAGAGCTATAGGAAATGCCTGTGACAGAGAGGACCTCAAGCAGCCTGACTCCGGGGACGCCTCTCACCTTCCTAGCTGCATGGAGTGGGCTGTAAGTGTATGCAGGGCTTGTGGCTATTCTCTCTCCAGTCATTATTAATTGGATGTTAACTGTCCAGGGATAGCTCTTACACAGCCCCACGTCGGAGACAAGCTCAGGGGTGTATTGTTAGAGTATGCCTCCCCATGGACTTGGCAAGCCACTCAGGAAGCTATGGCAATGACATTCTCCCCTTGATCCCAGCGCCCAGTGTCTGGCACCCAGTTGGGGGGCCCAGAGCGGCCAGAGGGCACCACCAACCACAGATGCACCTGGCCACGCCCCCCCAAGGTCATGCTCCATGTGTGTGGTATGCAGGGTCTCATCTCTCCTGGAGGCAATGTATTCTGTGTTCTCATCCTCTTTTTTACTTCCTCCGCCTACAGATGCCAGATGGGAGCGGGACTGCCAGTCCCCATGCCCGGGAGAGCTGGCTATCCTGAGCACTCTTGGCACAGGGGGAAGGAGAGGCCGGGTCTTCCCAAGCCTTGGGACTCACTTGAAGATGAAGGCAAAGATGAAGATACCCAGAGATGAGCATACAAGATGAAGGGGTGTTGTTGTCATTTCATTTAGGTCCCACGTCCCTCCACAGAGGATGGCTGACAGTCTCCAGAGACACACGCAATGCCAATGAAGTGAGCATGGGAGAGAATCTGGAGGAAGGGGAGTCTGGACAGGGCTACGGCGGCCACAAGGACTTAAGAACGTTCCCACAACAGATACCACATGGGATCCAGGGGAGGGTGCATGTGTGGCCTGAGCTTCCTAGCAGTCAAGGCAAAAAGGAGTAGCATACAGAACAATCTACAAATCAGACCACACACTCAGCTCCATTTGCCACTTGTATTGCTATAACCTTGGTCCCGTCACCCACATCCCTGCCCCAGTGGCCCAAGCTGATTTTCTAACATCTCCCATGATCTGACCCCTTAAAACTAGAACTTTCACCCTATTACTTCCTGCTCACTCTCTTCCATAGGGGCCATCCCTTTTCCTCTAGGACCAAAGGCAATTTAGTCCCCAAGTAGTGCAGCTCTCCATGCTCTGCCCCATCCTCCAGCCCCCTTACCATCATCATGGCTGTGCATCAACCCCTGTCAGTGCTTATGAAAGCTGGCATGCGAGGCTGAGAGAGCATGGGTGCTGGGACTAGGCACCCTGGGGCTCCCATCCTGGCTCCACCCTTCTCCCCTCCTGCAGCCACCCCCTCACCATGGCTTTGTTGGGGGTGGGGCTGGTTTTCTACTCCTTGATGAGGACAGGCAACTTGCTTCAAAGGAGGGAAGGTGGGAAGAGGGCCAGTGCCACCACCACTTCCTGCTGCCTCTGCCTCCTCCTCTGCCTCCTTCTTTTCTCCTTCCCCACCCCTGCTACAGTCACCACCATGATTGCCATAGTCAGCTGCCTGCCCCCACTGCTGCCCCAGTGGCTAGGGCAGGTCCTGGGGCTCCCACCTCCGTCTCTGACACGCAGTGCTCCTAACAGCAGAGTCGAGGGCTGGAGTGGGGCACCATGGCCCCGAAGCAGAGTACACACCTCTCTCCCCTTAAGAATTCAGCCTGGCATGGTAGCTCATGCCTGTAATTCCGGCTACTCAGAAGGCTGAGGCAGAAGGATCGCCGGAGCCCAGCAGGTTGAGGCTGTGGTGGCCGGGAGCGGCCACTGCACTCCAACCTGGGCGACAGAGTGAGACTCCAACTCAAAAAAAAAATTAAAAACAAAATTAAAAAAAAAAGAATTCACTCACTCACTGACTCACTCACTCATCCACTCATTCATTCACCCTCCCATTCCACAAATGTGCATCAACACCAGGAATCCTACTAGGCACTGGGTATGCAAAGGACAGCAAGAGCAGCACCTGCCTTTGTGGGCTGTGGCCACCTGCAGGTACGAACTATAAATAAAGGCATCAGTTAAAAGCCAGTCCCTGTTGGGCCCATGTAGGATGGCACCCACCATGCCTCCCTCTTTGTTTTCCCCCAACACGTGTCACCTGGTGTGTGTACACACAAGTGCTTATTCATTTGCCCATTCACAGTTGTATCTGCTCCTCCCGCCCCATCCGCAGTTAAAGTTGGTGCAGACAAGGCTTTGATGGTTGCACCCCCCGGGTCACCAGTGCCAAGAACAGCACAGGCATGTGCTAGGAGGGAGCCCAGATGACCCTGAACCAAAAGTCTCACAGACAGAAGAGAGGATGGACCCCAAGGCTACTCTACCCACGGTGACAAGGAGGGCTTGGGAGGCCACCCTAGCTGGGGGACTGGATTAGACTGAGGCTGTGGCAGGGAAGGGGCCGGCTGTCCCAGACAGGACAGAGATGGTAGCAAGGGGAGCAGATACACTGGGGAGGTGGGTAGGGCTATGAACAGGGGCTTGAACTTGATTCAGCAGGAGCCATTGGAGGGTCTTTGATGGAAGAGAGCCAGATGGCTCACTTCTCAAAGGCTCAACACATCAGCCAGAAAAGTCCAACACATCAGCTAGGACAGAGGCCTTCATTTCAGCAGCTCCTCAAGGGGCTCTGGTGTCATCTGTGGAGGGAGGACCCAGGAGGCCACAGGTGGCACCACTCAGCACCCACCTCTGGTGGAAGCATCCTATCCCCTCTGCCTTCCCCAAAATGCCCCAAGCCCAGGGCCAGATCAGGGAGGGCTTGCAAGGCTGTGACTTCCTGCCCAAGAACAAAAACTTCAAAATATTAATAGATATTGTGCTATTTGGTGAGGAAGTTACTCGCAGCCTCTCAAGGGTGGAGGACATGGGTGCTTCCCTGAGGGTGTGCAGGGACAGAGTGAGTGAGGGGAGGATGTGATAGAGCCTTCCTGAGCCCCGTGTGACTCACAAACACTGATGAGTGGGTATAGATGTACACGGCGGGTGTACCCCTTGTAGCAGTGCACACGTATGTGGGTGAGTATGCCTGTGCATGCATGGGGTAACTTTCTGAGGGTGGGTGTGGGTGACTCATGCACGTGTGACTGCAGCAGGAAGATCTGCCCCTTCCTATGAATTCTTTCTGTACCCCTCCCTGAGTTTCCCAGGAAGTGCCTTCTCACACTAAGGAAATTCTGGAAGGTGCAAACTCATTAGCAGGCTACCTCTCGCCTCTGAATAACACCAGTGCCAAGTTCCATGGCACCTCCGAGGAATTAGTAGTTAATTAATGAGAAATGTTTCTCCCACCTGGCATCTGTGTGAAAAAGAACTGCATGCAGCCTCAAGCTGGAGCCTACTCAGGTCCCCAAATGACGGATGGGACAAGAGGCCCTGTCCTGGCGACATTAGATCCTTGCAGCTCAGGGGTAGGCTCCAGTCTCTCCAAGACCTCCAACCCTCTCCAGGCTCAGGGTAGTCAGTGTCCTCAACCCCCAGTACCAGGTCCCCTTCTCAGACTCAGGGTAGTCAGTGTCCTCAACCCCCAGTACCAGGTTCCCTTCCCCTCCCCCATCAACGAATCTACAGACTTATAAGACAAGGGCTATTCTAGGACCAACACGGCAGCTGACATCCCTGAGCTTATAGGCTAATTTCCATGCCTGACATGAAGCCAGTCTGTTTTTTTTTTTTTTTTTTTTTTTTTTTTTGAGTTGGAGTCTCACTCTGTCACCCAGACTGGAGTGCAGTGGCCACTCCCGGCCACCGCAGCCTCGACCTGCTGGGCTCCAGTGATCCTTCCGCCTCAGCCTTCCGAGTAGCCGGAATTATAGGCTTGCGCTACCACGCCCGGCTAATTTTTTGATTTATTGTAGAGATGAGGTCTCACTGCCCAGGCGGGTCTCGAACCCGCAGGCTCAGGCAATCCACTCACCTCAGCCTCCCAAAGGTGCGGGATTACAGGCTGAGCCACCGAGCCCGGCTGAAGCCAATCTTTTTATTCACCATATTTCCTTCCATCC